GGGAAAGGGGCGGGGACTAGGGAGGTGGGGGAAGTGGGGGGCGGGGACTAGGGAGGTGGGGGGCAGGGACTAGGGAGATGGGGGCGGGAAGGTGGGGGGACAGGAGCGCCTTTCTGCTCCCTGACCTGTAAGGAAGGTGCACGAATGATCTGTCTTTCAGCAATGCGGTGGTTAAATAAAATGCTATAGACGGAGCACTGGGTGAACTAAAATGCAATATACCAAAGGCACTTTTTTTTTTCTCTTTTTCAGGTATTGCCTGTTGGGGTGTAGTTGTCCTGGCAGACCCCAGAGGGAAGTCCCACCGAGTTGTTTGAAAGCACCAGCAGTTAACTGCTGCAAGGCAGGAAAAAAAAAAAAAAAAACAGCCTTGTGGTGGTGGATATTCTTGGCAGTCATGGACAAGGATGCAGTTCATTATAGGACATACTAAGAAGACAGTGACAACATGAGCTGCCATTCTTTGGCCATGGATGTTTATGGTTTTCTCCCCTCAGGTTATAAAGGGGCAAATAAATCCCCAGGAAGCAAAAATGGTTCCGTGTCTTGTCCAGGAAGGTTGTGTGTAATTCAAATTATACTGAAAGATGACAGTTTTAAGAAGTTATTAAAATGGAGTAAATGATAGGCCAATAATGAAATAAACTATTTTATTATTATAGTAAGCAGTTCTTTTTATTTTTCTAATTGTATCAATAGCTGTTACCAGCCTAACCCTGGATAGGTACATGGAACTAGATTTGAAAGTTTTTCATGCTTTCTAGAGTTTCTTTATGTCCTTCACTGAGTGAGAGCTGCTGATTTGTTATTTCGTTGGTAAACCTTCAGACCAACCACTGGGTTTGCGTCAGTGTTTCATCAGAGCAGTGATGAAGTGAAAAGATTTTCTCCCCAGTTCTCTCACAGCTGGAGTAGTTCCAAAGAAGCAGGAGTTACCTTTATCCACCAAATATCAATACATAATTAAAGATGTAAATATCAAAATATTTGAGAAAAATTCAAAAAGAAAAACTGTTGATGGCTTTGCCCATAGGTATTATAAGTATTCTACACTGGAATTGGGATGATTTTGGGTAAGAGAAATGTGTGCTTGTTGTCAGGGCTTGGTTTTTGGGGTATTCTCTGAAATACTGAGACGTCTGTGCAAAGTTATGTTTAGGTGGTTCTTCAAAGTAGAAAGATACTATTTGACATGAATCAGTGTTGAGTATGTTGAGCAAGTATTTAACTTTTTTGACAATTTTATACATGTATTTAAAATATTTTGGTCATATCTCTGATATCTTTTCATCTCTTTTTTTAATGACCCACTGAGTTTAATTAGAATATTAGGATTGCTTGCATAAGCAGGAGTCTGGACTACAGTAATGAAGTGAATGTTGTTTGGTTTGGTTTAATCTGGTGTCTGGGTGCATCTGAAAATTACGTTTATAGTAACTGCAACAGTGTCCGGGTTTATTTATTTATTAGTGTTTTGTTTTTCTCAACCTGACACAAGCTAGACTTACATCGGTAGAGACACCTCAATTTAAAAGAATTCCCTTATAAGATTGCCTGTGGGCAAATTTGTGGGGAATTTTTTGAGTAATGATTATATGGGAGGGCCCAGCCCACTGTGGGTAGTATCACCCCTGGGCAGGTAGTCCTGGAGAGGGTAAGGTGAGCAAACCAGTAAGAAGCACTCTTCCAAGGTCTCTGCTTCAGTTCCCATCTCCAGTTTCCTGCTCTGAGTTCCTATCTTGACTTTCCCAATGATGGACTGTAACCTGTAAACCAAATAAACCCTTTCTTCTCTAAAGCCTTTGGTTGTGATGGTTTATCACAGTAATTAAAACCCTAAGACAAACAGTATATTTGAAAATAATATATATACCTTAGTTTAAAATGTTATTGATAAAAATGTTTCTATTCATCTTAACCTTTAGAACATCATATGTTTGGATTTTGTTTTTTATTTGTTTTCCTGAGGAGGGTCTTGCCTTAGGGTTGATGGCTGTTAACTGCCTTGGTTGGTAGTTACTGAAAGTTATGTGACTATAGTTTTTCAAAATGGAAGTTTACCATGTAGATGGTTCTTTATATCAAGTTTTTCTCTGCTGCTATGCTGTTTTATAGCTTCATACTCAGAGAAGAACTTGAAGACTGGGAATTAATCTCACAAACCCTGAAGCTGTTTCATCCACTAAGATTGTAAGAGAGTCTCAATCATTTATTGACCTTTAAACCAAGTTTATAATTCTTTACCAGTGGTTACCATCTTGAGCAATCTTTTTTTGGTCAACCATAAGTAGAGACTCGAGCCATTAAGTTTTATCATGAGATTAAAGCAATTGTGTCACATTTGCAAGCTCTACTTTTAATGTTACTTGGTATTTTTTAAGATATTTACTATTTACATTTACTATTTCTACTGAAATCTTGAACCCCTTAAAGTAACCAAGAAGGGATGGAATCAGTTTCCTCTACACTCATGTTAATATTGGTATTTTGGTCTTCTCATAAGTCACAAAATTCATAATAGTGTTTAGAAGTTGTGAATTATTTTCAGTGTACTTTGCCAAAATCCATCAGAGGAATCCCTCTGGTATCTATAGCATCTCCTAAATAAGATTTGAAAGTTCAAGTAATTTTACATCTCTATCAGAATTTGTGGGTTACCAAGTACATTGTCACAAAAGAGAATCTAGTTTTATACCTGATTGTGGACTCCCTTTCAGGAGTTCACAACAGTGGTCTTAAAATAAGTAAGCTATGTTGCAAAGAGATGTGCTATTATCCAGGTATGTTCCGATTACAGAGGAAGGAGTAGGTGTAGCACGATTCTTAAAGCCCCTGCAATACTCTGGTAATTGAGTGTCGCCTTCAATTTAAGGTTGCTAGCTTCGTTTACCCCTAATGAGAATCAGCCTGTACTTTGAAGCTTTCACACTTTGAAGATGGGATTGTCTTCTCTGCAGCTATGAACATAGTAGGCAGCATCATTTTCCAATATAAGGATATGTATTGAATGTCTTCTTTAAAGCAGCCACTGTCATCAGTTACCCTAGCTAGATCTAAGGAGCCTGCATTAGCTTCTACAATAGCACTTGTTATTTCACCTTGCACTTTTATGTCATGGATATGACTTTCACTCACTGTCATGAACCAACTTCTCCTGATTTTAAATTTTTCTTCTGAAGATTCTTCATCCATCAGGGTTCATAGAATTTAAGAGAAGGGTAAGGCCTTGTTCTGGCTTAGAGAAATGTAGCTAGCTTGATCATCCTATTCAGACAATAAAACTTTCTAAACCTCAGCAACAAGGCTGTTTTCTGTTCTTAAGTTGCAGGAGTAACACTTTTAATTCCCTTCAAGAACTTTACCTTTGCAATCACAATTTGGCTTCAAGTTTGTTGTGTGTTGGTCTGACTTTACCTATTGTGTCTTTCTGCGTGCTTTCCTCATCAAGATCTAGCTTTTAATGAAAGTGGGAGTTGTGTGACTCTTACTTTCACATGAACAGTTAAAGATTCTGAGGGTTATTAAACCAATTTCAATATTGTGTTTCAGAATAAACAGGCTGGGTAGTGGGATAAGGTGCGAAGAGATGTGCAATGACTGACTAGAGCAATCCATACATCTTTCAGTGAAATTTAAGGTGCCTCAAACAATTACAATACTAAGATCACAAATCATAAAAAATGTAATAATGAAAACTTTAAGGGGCTGGAAATGAAGCTAGTTGATATTGCCTGCCATGCAAGGAATGTTGAGTTCTGACTCTAGGACTATATAACCTGATTGTATCATACAGCTAATCTCAGTAAGGTTCAAAGTCATCCTTAGGTATATAGAGTTTGTAACCAGCCTAGTAAACATTTGAACTCTGTCTCAAAAATGTAGGGTTGAGGTAAGAGAATCGCCAAATGTGTCACAAACACATTATGTTAGCACATACTATTGGAAGATAGCATGCATAGACATCAGAACAGGACTGTCACAAACTCAGTTTTTACAATGCAGTGTCTAGGCTAAAGCTATTGCTCAGTTGTTAAGAGCATGTGCTGGTGCTCTTGCAAAGGACCTGAGTTTGGGTTCCAGCACCAACATCAGGTTTCCCGGCCTCCTAAAACCCCAGTTCAAAGGGATCTGAAGCCACTGAACTCCATGTGTACCTACATAAGTGTGTGTGCACACACACACAACTAAAAACATCCTTTAAAAATGCAATATCTGCAAAGGACAATGAAAAGAAAAAGGGTAGGCCTGGGCCATAGTACCATTTAGACATTTTTAATGCCTTTGAGTTTGTATCCTTAACTAAGCTTTTTTCCAGTGAACTTTTGGGCTCAACACATGCACTTGATTCTTCCCCACGTGGAGCAATTTAGTTGGCTATGAAGAAAGCATTGTCTGTAACAAGCCCATTAGAATAAGCAAAAGCAAAACTGTTCAGAATCTGTATTTTAAGTATTCTTTTAGGTTTTAAAAATTATACTTGAAGTACCAAGCCACTCATTTCAGTTTGTTTTTGGAATAAGTCTGTGATCTTTACAGAAACATTTTAGGGAGAAAAGAATCCTATATCCCCCTCCTTTCTCCTCCAGCTCTCTATCTTTCCTCTTTCCTCCTTTCCCTCTCTCCCTACTCCCCCTTCCTCCCTCTCTTTAAGTTTCTTTCCCTGCCCCGCCCCCAACTTTGAGTAAGCAAAACAGACTCTCTGGTAGTTTGAATGTAATTGGCCCACATAAGCTCATGGAGTGACACTCTTAGGAAGTATGGAATTTTTTGGAGTAGGTATGGCCTTGGATGAAGTCTATAACTGTGGAAGTAGGCTTTGATGTCTCACATATGCTCAAGCCATGCCCAGTGTCTCAGTGCACTTCCTGATGCCTTTGGATTAAGATGTAGAATTCCCAGCTCCATGTCTGCCAGTATGCCACAATGTCTCACCATGATAATAATGGGCTAAACTTCTGAAACTATAAGCCATCCAATTAAATGTTTTCCTTTTTAAGACTTGCTGTGGTCATGGTGTCTTCACAGTGATAGAAACCCTGACTAAAACAGAAGTTGATATTGGAGACTGGTATAGCTGTGATAGGCCTGACCATGCTTTTGTTTGGAGGAATTTAGACGTTGGGAGTTTGGGTTAGAAAAGCAGTGGGATGCTTTAAGTGCTACTTAATGGGTCATACTAGTAGGAGCATAAAAGGCTGTGGTGTTTCTGTGTTCCCCGAAATATTGTGCACCCTAATTTATCTGGGGTCGGAGAACAGACAGCCACTAGATACAGAAGCTAGAAAATGGTGGCACTCACATCTTTAATCCTAGCATTCCAGAGACAGAAATCCCTCGATCTCTGTGAGTTCAAGGCCACATTGGAAACAGCCAGGCATGGTGACACACGCCTAGAATCCCAAGAAGTGAGCCTTTAATCCCAGGGAGTGATGGCAAAAACAGAAAGATATATAAGGTGTGAAGACCAGAAACTAGAAGCATTTGGCTGGTTAAGCATTCAGACTTTCAGAACCAGTTCAGCTGAGATTCATTCTGGATGAGGACTCAGAGGCATCCAGTCTGAGGAAACAGGATCAGCTGAGAAGTTGGCCAGGTGAGGTTAGCTGTGGCCTATTCTGTCTCTCTGATCTTCCAGTGTTCACCCCAATCCCTGGCCTTGGG